CGGGGGGACGGGCCCTGAGGCCGGGGGGGACCGGCTCTGAGGCCGGGCTCCGCTGGGGTCCACCTCAGAGGCCGACTCTGGAAGCACAGTGGGCGCGGCCGGGACCCGAGCACCCGTGTCCACCGCCCCGGGCGTCGCCGGCCACCCGCCTGCGGGAAGCGGACCTGGCCACGTCTGGACCCCGAACACACGAGCAGACCAGACGGTGCGGTAACAAACGGCTGCATTGTCATTAAAAATGCATTTGGAGAGGCTTAGCCGCTACGCCGTAGATAAATATCTCCGCCGGCTCCTAAACCGTAATTAAATGTTTCAGTATTAATTGCTATTTACTTAAGGGGTGGTAAGTACCCCGGTAAATCTGAGCGGCCTTCCTGGTTGCCCTCCGCTCGACGCTCATGTCCAGGCATTAATCACGAGAATCGGGGACACTTAGAATCCGGATGCTTTCCTCCCAGCGAGTGATAAATGGCCCGTCCGACCCGCGGTGCGGAATCTTTAAGCATTTATCAGGGACGAACAAGGCGGCCTGGTCCGCGCACCCTCCTGGCCCTTGTCTGTGGGAACCGGAGGTGGCTGGAGGGAGCCACTGCCTCGTGTCCCCAGGGGTGGTGGCCGAGTGCGGCCAGGTGCCTGGCAAGTCCTGAGGGCTCTTCTCACCCCCCAACCGCCTACCTGCCTGCGATACAGAGACCCAGTCCAGGTCTTTGGACACGGAGGTGTCCCCTCCTGTAAACCGGGGTGGTCCCAAAACAGCTCCTCGAGGATGGTTGGAGAGTGGGGTCCAGACACCTTGACGCCTGGGGGCTAGGAGGCCTGGGGGTGATCTGCCCCACCTCTTACAACCTTACTGACCTCGGGCCAGTCCCTTACCCCTTCCGTGCCTCACTTTCCCTATCTGGAAATGGGGCCGCTGGGAAGACTGAGTTCCTAGATGTAAAGGGTGCTCCCACGAGCCCCCGTTTGAATATCCGCATCAGGGGACTATCCCCCAGGTGGGGGTTACCTGATTCCAAAGGTGTGTCCACCTCCAGGCCTGTGGGCCCGCAGCCCTCGGACAAAGGGAGCAGAGGTCCGGCGTGCACAGGGCCAGCCTCTCCCAGGTCAATGTCTTATGCTCTTATTTTTTTTTATTATTAAAAATATGTCTTTATTGATTTCAGGGAGAGGAAGAGAGAGAGAGAGAAACGTCAATGATGAGAGAGTCATTGATGGCTGCCCCCTGCACGCCCCCCACTGGGGATCCAGCCCGAAACCGGGGCATGTGCCCTGACCGGGAATCCAACCGTGACCTCCTGGGTCCTAGGCCAGTGCTCAACGCTCAGCCACACCGGCCAGGCTCTTATGCTCTTACTGCATTTAGAAATCCCAACAGAGATGCCGGCCATGGCTGGGTGGCCTGCAGACGCTGCACGGGACAGGCAGGACCCCTCTGTCCACGAGAAAGGTCCAGGTGGTTGGTCTGGCTGGAGCAACCGGAGGTCCCTGGGGCCCTAATGAGGTGTCCCCTTGAGGCAGACAAAGGCCTATGAGGGCAGGGCCGTGCCCAGTGCCCTGGCCTTGGCCGTGGGGACAGAACACATCCTACCTGCTGCCACACAGTCTCAGCAAAGGCATCTGAGGGGGAGGCTCCCTTTCCTTTCTAATCTAATTACACTTCTTTGCCTGTTGGCTGAATATGGCGCTAAGCAGGTCATTTTGGCTCCGGGATAGGAAGGGAGGGCTGGAGATTTAATTTGGAGCAAACACGCTATTCATTAGGACCGGCCTCAGGAACTGACCGATCCATTCCGACGTCTCCAAGCAGCCGGCTCCTCCGGCCCAGGCTAACTCTGGGAGCCGCGTCCTCGGAGGGTCCCCTGAAGGCCCAAGAAAACAACTCCCCACCTCGGGCCCTGCACCCCACTCTGACAATGGCTTTGTCCTTGTGTCAGAAGGTGAGCAGAGAAAAAAAAAAATAACCATTCTGGAAATTGGGTTCCCTGCTCACGGCAGGGATCAGAGGTCACCTTTAGAAGGAACATCTGGGGGGGAAACGACACTCTCTGGAGCAAAATGGGGGTCCTTAGAAAACCTGGCATCCAAAGAAAAGCAAATTTAAAACGCCCCACGCCGGGGGTTGCATCTGTTGACTGCGCTGGTGGAACGTGCAGCCGAGGGGGCCGATGCTCACCCCCGGCCTCCGCGTGTGTGCAGATCCAGCCCGAAGAAAGCAATTTAACATCGGCATTAAAGTTAATATCATTGAGCGCAGAGAAATGTTCCCCGCCAGCCGAGCGTGGAAAATTCATCCCACTTTCTACCCATCCCCGGCTCCAAATTAGCAGATGCCTCAACTCTCCCTTCCTTTCTCTATAATTTTCCTTCTTATCTCTTGTTTTTATATTTCAAAGTTGTGTTTTAATTCTGCTCTGCGCCTCCCTTCCCATGTCAGGACATGCGATGGCGCCGCGTCTGCCCACGAAGCTGCCTGACCGCTCCCGGCTCCGGGAGCGACCGTGGGGACCCGAGCTCGTCTCCGGGGCTGAAGTCCCCGCCCGGCAGGCAGTGCCCCCAGGGCCTTCCTTGGGGAGGGGCAGACGCGGGCAGAAAACAGCCCGGGTGCTGGGTCCGGGTGCCTGGGTGTCGCTCTCCCTCTCCCCCCATCACTGAGACACGGGGGCTTTTCTAACAAGCGCAGCAGGGACCCCACTTGCCCAGCCCTCCAGGTTGCTCAGAAAGGTAACCATCACAGTTCCAGCCACGGTGTCGCCACCGGGAAGGCTCCCAGTTTTCCCAGCGTGAGGACGGAGTGGGGAAGGCGGGGCAATGGGGGAAAAAAGAATCAGGCTCGCCCGGCCCCGGCAGCTCAGCGATTGAGCGTCAACCCAGGAACCAAGAGGCCGCCTGTTCGGTTCCCGGCCGAGGCGCACGCTCAGGTTCCGGGCTCGACCCCCAGCAGGGGGCGCACTGGAGGCAGCCCCTCGATGATTCTCTCTCATCAACGTTTATCTCGCTCTCTCTCTCTCCCTAAAAATCAATAAAAACATATTTTTAAAAACAGAATCGAGCCCAGCCGAGCGTGGCCCAGCGGTTGAGCGTCGACCTAGGATCCAGGCGATCAGGGTTCGATTCCCGGTCAGGGCACATGCCCGGGTTGCGGGCTCAATCAATGACTCTCCCATCATTGATGTTTCTGTCTCTCTCTCTCCCTCTCCTTTCCTCTCTCTGAAATCAATAAAGATATATTTAAAAATAATAATAATAATAAAGTTTAAAAACAGAATCGAGTTCAAAAGGAGACGTACGTACCGTGAAACAGACACATGGGGTCCGCCCTGCCCCCAGGAGGTAAAAAAGACTTGGCCAGTCAGCAGGAGATCTCAAACCACTTCTCAGACACGAAGGCCACGGGGATGAGGTGCCGATCCGAAGAGGAGGGTCTGCAGTGGGCAGAAAGGAACCGGCTTCACCAGCTGGCCCAGGCCCACAGCCGCGGGTCAGGCCCGAAGCAGGATGCCGTCCCCTCGGGCCACCAAGAAGCGCCTGCGAGGCGGTGCTCAGCTTCGACCCGCCGGCCCGGGCAGGAAGGGGCGGCCTCCTGCGGCTGGCTGACCGCCCGGGACAGCCCCGGAGAACCCAGCCTGAGGGACCCGTCCCGGGCGGGCTCTGCTGTAGCGGCCGGAGACCAGCTTTCCGGCACCGTGGAGCCATCTCCAAAATGTAGCCTTTCAGGCACAGGACAAGCACACGGCTCGGGGGGCTGCCTTTGGGGACAGGGCCTCAGTCTGCGTTATCACATCGTAGGGGGGACAGGGCCTGACTCCTAAAACGGCGCCCCCACGCTTCGTCGTCTTCAGACTAAGCTACCGCCTCCCGAGGCCAGTGAGCACCAGGGAGGGTCACCGCAGGCGCCAAAGCGGGGACTCTCTCCATCCTGGGCTTCCTCCCCGGGCGTGAGCATGCCAGCCGTGCCCACCGGCCCCTGGACAGGGCTGCCACGGGGCACAGGGCAGAGCCCGGGACCAAGTGAAACAAGGACCGATCAGAGCCCCCGGCCCCCCAACCCTGAGGCTGAGGCGCTGGCCGGGACTCCTGGCCAAACCGACGCCCACATTCAGTGAAATGGTCAGAAAACCCTGACGATTCTTCGTGAACTCGGCCTTCTGCAAGGCCGGGGTGCGGTCCGTGAGCTCCCCAGTGTCCCCGAGTGAAAGAAAGTCGTGCCGGGAAGGACAGCCCCGAGGTTCCCTCTCCGGAGGGGCAGCTGCTCTCACACTTCGGGGCCCAGCGGGGAGACGCGAGGTGTCCGAGGAGCAGCCGCAGGCTCAGGGCGGGTCCAGCTGCGATAACTACGGGCCCTGCAGCTAAGGCACCCCGTTTCCCAACTGGGTCCGGGAGGAACCCGTTCAGGGGAGTTCACCCCGAGTCCCCCAACTCGGTTCTGGGAGGAGCCTGTTCAGAGCACCTTGGGCAGGGTCCCCAGCTGCCTGGCCTGCTCTGAGAGATGCCCCCCAATCCGCCTGCTGTCTTACTCATTATCCCCTAAAATTAAGCCTTTGCAGAATATTTTTTTTAATTTATAAAATGAGGTAGGAGTGTATGCCCGCTTGAAAAAAATAGCATATTGATGTTTTAATCTAATTCGGGATAAACCTCCAGAAGCTGACTCAGGGTTTCCGAGCGCTCCCAGGCACGGATTCAGGGCTGTCTTCTTTAAAGCACGACTAGTGATTAATAATAATAAAAA